ACGCCACTGTTCAGATCAGCGACAGTGATCAGGGGACATCGTACGGATATTATTATTTGTTTTTCAATTTTTAGAATACCAACGTCAAGGTTCGCACTCGATTTCGAATTCGCAGTGCTGGTTTCTGACATCGTTGCACGCAGAGTACAGCCTGTAAAACGAGGTCAAAACCTTTAGGTGTTATCGGGAGGTCGGATGATTTGATTTTAGATCCCCTAACGAGTAACGACCGACACAAATTGTATACGTACAGCACGTATGTTTCAACAAGGCTAGAATATGTAAACAAAAGAAACTTGCTTAACATTTGCTGACTTTCTACTAAATTTGCATTGTACTGATCGCGCGCGTAGGGTTCGGTTTAGATCATTTATTTTCAATGATCCGACGGTAAAAATTAATTTTTGAACTTTTGCAGATTCCCGTTGTTTGTGTTGGTGCAGCGGAAGTGTACCGACGTCACCTGTACTCGAAGATTTTATCGCCGCGAGGACATATAAAAATCAAAGCAAAACCACCGCTACGGAATGCGCAGCCGGTCAGCGGCTATGCACGCAGCCTAACTTAACCGGGGACGTGTACACATACTTTCAGTAACTCGATATCATCGGCACGCGAGGTATGATGATGTTAAAAAAAGTAATAATATTATACCGAGCTGTTTGATATTAATGTTTTTTTTTTCGTTTTTCATAATTCTATTTGAATCGTCTGGACGCAAAACGTACGTCTCCGAACGCAACGCGCCAACCCCGTAAACGTGCACTATTACGGGACCCCACAAATTATGTATTAAGAATATCGCTCTATCCATAAATAAAAATGATATACAGTAGTTCGCGAATCGCAACCCGTGCGTTGTCGTGCGATTTTCTGATGGAAACGGGTGTCGTTATCGACGAAAATTAAAACGTCACAGATTTTACATCAAAATATCAAAATGAAAATACAATTTGTGCATCACTCCTCGATAAGCAAACCTTATGCTTGGGGAGCAGTTCTTAAGAATACGCAATAGAATAATATAATATAATACATTCGATATTAATAAAATACAAAAGTAAAAAAAAAAAACAGCGGAATCTTCCTATTACATCTACATATTACTATTGTTATAATTATTATCGGTTTCTTTACAGCATCGTCCGGCTAGGTGTCGCCTTAACGGTCGTGGGATTTCTACGATACGATCACGCGCCTTCGGCTCTGGTAGCGACGTGCGGTGCATGTACCGAAACCCAAAAACCTAAACCGCGGTAAAACGGTTCGGGTAGAACCGCGTGTGCGCTACACTCGGTCTACCTCGGCCCCCCAATTAGATTTTTCAGCGTCATTTTTCTAATTTGCATTTCATTCGCGTCGTAAACCGTTCCCGGCGGCACCGCACGTACGGTACGAACGGACGGACGAATCGATAAACAATTTTAATACGTCGAGTACGATAGGAACGGTGTACGCCTTTGTGCGACGCATACGTTTATGTGCACGGCCGACGCTACGAATTTTTATTACGCCCGGAGGGGGTGGGAGAGGGGTATACGAGTACGGCCTGTAAGCACCGAATGCGTAATTATGCGTGAATAAACGAAACAGCGTAAACGGAATATATACCGGTGAATAATCCTCCCCCGCCCACGCATGTCCACAGAAAAATTTGAACGTCACTCACAGAATCTTTTTGTCGTTATTTGCCGAAAAGAAAAAAAAGAAAAAAGAAGACCCTAGACATGGTATCATGTGGATAACAGATCCATTTGCAGCAAACAACAATGAAAATAACAAGTTAAATATGACCGAAAAAAAACCTCGTCGATTCATTTAATGGTATTTATGTAAAAAGCTATTTAAAACTAAAAGTGGTTCGTAGAATTTAGAGCATATATTTAGTGGTCCGTGAGGTCCAAATGGTTGGCGACCGCTGGTATAGAACTCACGCGCGGTGCCCATGTGGTACATCAAAGGACGACGCCAATCCTTCGGCGACGGGAAACGCGTGTCTTGTTAAAGGACGGCACCTGCCGTAACCTAATCCGTCCGAAATGTAAGACAAGTCCACGGGTTCGGTGTGGAAACGGTTTTGAAGTCGTCAGTTTCGACATTAGGTAGAACTTCAACGGAAACACATTATCCCGCGCGTTTTTAAATTTTTAAATGACCTATGAGTATTTTTTACTTTTTTTCATTTGCAATATTTCATGCGCCGTTAGGTATTGTGTTGAAATACGTGTGCGCAGACATTTGTTTGAAAACAAAACCGCGTACCCGAGAGAACGCGCCCGAACTCGTCTGTCACGTGCACACATAGCACGTTCGCGTTCAGCGTATTTTGATAATAATATTGGAGTGAACATTTTTTGAACAAGTTAACAGTTTTTTATTTTCGTAACCGTAACATTCCACACGATCATCGGAAATGACCGACCAGCAGAACGCGGATGTTGATGTCACTAAAAAGTTTGACGATTGGTCGGCTTACGCTAATATTAAACCTAATAACCACCGTAACTAACGTAACTACCGAACGCAAATTTTTTGTTCGTAAACAACACACGGTGTACGCGCATAATTGCGGTCGCGCCGAGTGTACACGTGAAAAACAGGTTCACGTGACCATATGCAGAGCGGACGGTAAAATTAACGATCGGATCGCATTTCGCACGACGGTTACATAACGACACGCGACAGAGCTGTGGTGCGCACGCTGGGTAGGTACGCGATTTCCAATTCGCGTCAGTAGCGGATGAGGGGTAGTAAGGGGCAGGAGCGGATCTAGGGGGTTCAGGGGGTCAGCTGACCCACAGTTAATATTTGTTGACAAAATTAGCCTCTTGGAAATTTTTTTCTCTTTTCAGACCTTGATTTGGACTCTTGGACAGTTGGCCCATCGGAAATACTAGAAAAATTAATGCCTTGTTTATTCAAAATTTAAAATTTTTCAATTCATAATTTATATTTTAAATTATATCGTTTTATTAAAAAGTTAAGTAAATCATATTTTATTCCGTACGTTTGTAGCGCTGATAAAATTAGATTATATTTATTAATCGAAATAAGTTATTATCGGTGGTATCACTAATTCTATATACTTATACACTTTTATGAGCATATTGTGTTTTTTTTTTACGAGGTATTCATTTCTAATTCAGTTTCATCCCTAATAAATGGCCTCTTGAAATGGCTTGACCCACAGTTCCCCGACTCTGAATCCACCCCTGGTAAGGGGCATACATCGGATGTATTACAACCCCCCCCCCCCATAAACTTTTCGTCGTTTTGTGTTATTTTTAATTACATACTGTGTGTAGATCATTTTTGTTTACAATCATCTGATGTGAACTATTCACAGATTTTGATATCGAATTTTTTTTCGTGCTAATAAAAACAATTAACTGTCAACCACAAAGTAATTAGGTACCCTAAAATGTCATCTAACGGCTGCAGATGTTTTCACAATCGTGTTTTCATTCGGAAAATATATTTCTAATACCTTGTATTGTTGAAGTTGCCAGTAACCTAAAGCTGTTGTTGGTACGGTTATAATGATTATCACGTAGAATTTTAAATTCTAATCAAATTCTAAAATCCTTTTAATTTTTAATGTGCAATGTTTACAGATTACGTACCGACTATATCCACAGAACGTTCTGTGCTATTCTTATCATTAATTCATCGGTTGACGTTGTAAATAGTTTGCGTTCTGCTTTTATGTTCGTTGTTTGTGCTAATAAGACATTAAATCTAAAATAACGAACTACTTTGCTGTCGCGAACAACTACTGCTCTTATCTATTTTATTTATAAACATATATTATTCACATAGTTTGCACCACTAAAATTAGTAAAATTATTTAATTGAATGATCTCGTGTCCTTAAATGATGATTTATTTTTTCAATGATCAAAGTTCGTGTTGAAATATTAGCCTCATCCCCCTATGACAAAATTATTTGATATCCCCCGATACCGTGCGTATTAACGTCATGCGGTAATCCGTAAACGTATACCTGGTAACGTGTAGCTTTCGCTCGTGGCGCGCACGTGTGCCAGGACGATTACCGCGGTGAGGCCGAAGCGCGAATTAGCCGTTATTACACTAATCAACGTGCGTTGCAACAATGCAACGCATTGATCTCTTACTACGTAACGTGCACAAAAACTCGGGCGGGTACGTATTTCAATATAGTTTACAATGAAACCTGATGATCAGATGTGACATTCGTTCGCTTTCGTTTTGAACGATTTTTCGCATTCCGATTGTAATCGGTCGTTTTGTTCGTCGATCCAGAGGACTTACACGTTAAATTATACGAGATGCACGTTGTCGAACAAAATATTACGAGTTGCTCTTCAAAAATCGTTCGATTCGTCGTTCTACGAACGATTTTTCTCGCTTTAACATGTCTCGGTACGAACGCAGCAAATGTTTTTGTTCAACGCGGAGGGGTTCTCGACAACGTATGAGTATGGATTATAAGTTCACGCGGAAACGATCACCGTAACATGCACGGAAACTCGGTAAACCGAAAACTCGATTGTTCTTCGTATTATTATTTTTTCCCTGTGAAATTTCCAACGATCCAGTCCGTTTCAATAGACTCCTCGGATATCAAACGCTTCTAGAATACGAAAACAAACCACGTGAAATCGAACAACTGATCGTGTGGGAAAACCGTGCCGAACAAACACGTATTGTGCATTAATGATTTGGGCGCGCGTTTCGCGGACGGGCTGGGTAACGTGAAATAAGTATTCGACTGCAATTAAACAATGTTGCGCATTGTTATTGGCGCGCATACGTACCAGAATATTATTTATACTACGTAGATGGTGGTGCACTGTTTTACATAAACCGATTTGTCACAGTTAAATATTTTACCAGTCAGGCTGACTCACCGTCGATCGATCGCGCACGTAGAGATTAATTTTCCGCCTTGTCGTTTATCCGTATCTGTAAACGACCAACACGCATTCCGCGCAAAAACACCACTACAAATGCAAATAATACTGTTAGAAAATAATGATTTTTATTCACTTATAAAACACGAAACCGTGTACAGATCGGTCAGACTTAAATGTATCACAAGCAATGAATGGATAACACAAATAACGACAACAACAACGACAATAATAATTATAATTATTATTATTATTATTGTTATACTGTACACATTATTATGTTACGATAATTTGTATAAACCAAAAGACTGCGTCGTTTCGCCGTTCATCCCTCGCGCCGACAACTCGTATTACGGTCTCTAAAAAATAATATTAAGCTGCCGCGTAGTCGTTATCGCAGCGACGTCTTCCACGGCCATAAAAAAACGAGCTTTATGTTCTTAACCGCCCGTTTTCCGTTCTTAAACTCTCCCGTCGCCGTGTCGTATCGGCTCTCGTCCGCATTCGTTATGTACACATGTGCATGATTACTTCTTCGCACCATACACGTGACACGGAATTTATGCTTATCGGTGCCCGAGTCGGCCGTGCATTTGTCGGCAAAGTTCGAGACTGCGGTACAGCATGTTCACGTCGTACATTGTCTGCACGAAAAAACGACGGTGCGCTGCAAATAAAAAAAAAAAATAATTGAATTAAAATATTATAAATTTTTTCGTGGTTCGTGATGTGATATTGCGTTGCAGGCGTATCTGTACGCGCGCAGAGAGATTTACAAGCGCTGTGCGCCGCGCGATAACCGAACAAAAAAAAAAAAAAAAAATGAAAATTACTATCGGTGCGCAAAGCACGTAGTGATATTATCTCGGAAAACGCGGAACGGAAGAAAAACCACTGCGGAATGCGATTGCGAGCTGACGGCAGAACGAGTGGACGTATGCACCGGCAACGTGCAGAGGTGTATCGGTCCGTATACCCTTCAGCAGATTTTTGTTTTTCGGCGTACCCCTAATGTAAAATATTATTTTACGGGCATACACGCTTCTTCTAAAACCACTCGAAAACCATAATTGAACACCAGTTCGTTGGAAAAAATTGTTATAAACTATGAAGTTTCAATGAAATATTTATCTGTTGAGGATTACGGCGAAGATTGCTGTGTTTAATGTATTTTACGTTCAATTTAGTAAATAACATTTCGAATAGTAGATATTATTAAAAATAATATGGAGCTTGGACACATTCAGTCCGCGGTGCTTAAACCTGCATCGTGCGAACCGTACAGTTTATAACGCGTGGTAAACGTATATCTTGTGGTGTTGTATTTTATTATCTTATTTAATTGATTCCAACGAAAAAATTATTTTGAGATTAATATCTACATCATTTTAATGCGTATACCCTTAAATATATTTACCGCTGGCTATGTGTTTTATCGACCGGAATACATTTTCCGAAAGCGAAAGCGTTTTTTGATATACTCGATCGGTCATCGTCCCCCGCAAACGGAGAAAACCGGTCGTACAAAACGAACATTGCACGTATAGGTGTGTCCCTCGTCCTGCACGCGCGTGCCGTATTGAAAAGAAAAATATTACTGAATGTATTACACCGGGGTGTGCACCGAAAAGTGCGTATAATATTAACTTTACCACCCTGACAAAATGCTCTGTGGGGGGGAGGGGGTGGACAAGTGGTGCCGTTTCAATCCCGCACTGCGTGTTACTGAGCCACGTTGTACGCGGTAACGCGGCGTGTGCGTGTGCGTACTTCCGTCGGATCGAACCCTTGGCAACCGTGCCCGTGAACAAACCCGAGCGCAATAATAACGAGTCGTATATGACACGGAAAAAATAAAAACACCCGGGGGGACATCACTGCACCTATCGGTATACATGTATAATATTAAAAACACGGGTAGGTGGTGCGCGCGCGCCGAAATAAATTACACGTAGGACGTGAGATTTATGCGATGAGATTAGAAAACGGTGGACCGGTTGTGTTGTACACAATCGTTTTCCACGGGTTTCTCGATTTCGAATGCTGGCGCGTCGCGGGGCTCCCATCGCGCGTTCGATCCGCTTCCAACATATGCACGTTATTACAATACACGCGTTATTACCGATCGTCCGGCGATAATAACATAATACATATATACGCCGCTCGGCGTGTACGTACGACGACGCTCCGACGTGTAATAACAACAATACGAATAACGTCGAAGGCGAGTATCGTGTGCGAGCACCAGCAACCCTGCCCACAAACGCATTTGCCGGACCGATAAATGATTTTGGTTTTTTTTCACCCCATTTCAAATCGTACCTGGCAGCGCAGGTATAGGCGTACCCGTGCGTTTTCTCGCGTCGGCAAAAGCCCCTCGCGCGCCCCGCACTCCGCGACGCATTGTACTCGGAAATAATGCTAAAAAATACCTTTCACGTATTCGCTTGTTCGCGGCGGCCACTCGTGTGTTTCGTGCGCAACGGCCACTCGAACGCAAACACTCACGCGCACAATGACCGAAGAGGGCGAGAAAGGGGTGAGAGACCTGAAAAGAATATCGGTGGAAAAAAAAAACAAGTACGCATGTGAAAAGTATTATACGCGCGCGCACCACGAGAGGAAAGCTCGACGAGAGTGGTCGGTGGACGAAGCGGTGGTAAAGAAAATGGAGAACAAAAGCGTCGATTACGGCGATTATCTTTTTTTTTTTTTTATCCCCGTTTCTAAAAATGTCAGTCGTTAAAACGTCCGTGCCAATAACGATAAATTACCTCCTCGAGGACCGGTAATTACGATTTTTTTTTTTGCGCGCGCATGGTTGCCAAATCGAACGGTTTTATCGCGTTAAGCCCCCGGGCCCCCCACTCCGGTCCCCCGAATAATCTTCCCTTGGCGGTGCAGTGCACGCGCAGTGCAGACAAAGATAGGCGGAAACGCACCCCGTCGGACTGTTTCACCTCTAACGACGCCGTTATAATTAGAGACGAATGCAAGCGCGTATAAACTTATCTGTTCAATAATTGTTCCGCTTGGTTTAAAGGGTCCGACCCCGCACGCACTAGTCGGTATTCCGTGTATCGGCACAGTTTCGTCCCGCCGCCCGTTCGCATGATACACACGTTGGTAACGGAGATGTTCTATTTCCCGTAACGATATTCAAACACAAAATATATACCGTTCCGTAAACATACATTATTATGGTAAATCGTATACGTAACGATTTTATTTCTCGACAGTGGCGTAGCAAGGATATGGCGAACTGTGTCTACGTCAGGGGCGCGAATTATAGAGGGGCGTCAAATTGTGCGAAAGTCGCATTTTTATCCTACAGTCAAATCGAAATGTTTTCATTGTACTCTTTGAAATACGTTGGTGTTGTCTGAATAGACTGCGAGTAAATTTAATGATGAAATTATGAAAATAACGCAAGGACATTTAAATAAAAATGCTCGTATGAAGAAATTATCGATGAATTTACTTGTCATAAAGTGAGAATTGCAAATGTTTATAGTTTAAAATTAACACTGTAATAATTTATAAGTATAAATTGTATACTTAAAAATATTAGTAAAATAAAAGTTAAAAAAATTTCGTGACATCAAATTTTAATTGTTTTAAAAGCGTTTTTTTAAGTTTTCCAGGGGCGCTAGCCAGTCTTCTTACGCCACTGTTTCTCAAACGCATAATGCGTATCGTATACACTCGATATTAAACAGAACGTTGTGTCGTACGCGGTGCGCGTATCGGTGCAAAAAATCATTGACGTAAGACCTTTACGTGTATTTTAATCAAATACTTACTGTGTGCAAAAAAAAATAATGATTCCGGGTGTTCTAATGATAAAAAAAACCGGTTAATAATTGGCTGTTTTCAAATTTATAATATTATAACTTATTTAAAATTACTACTACGATTTTATTTTTTAGAATTAAGTCAATATTAAATACATTCCGTATGATTATTTGTAATATTTTCGTTTTCTTTTTTTTATGTTTTTATTGCTTTATCAATTCCATTGTGTTAATAGATATGTAAAAATATACTTTATGTCCGTTTTCACGTTTACACATTTCTCTTTTTGTATTTTTTTTTATCTCATTTCTTAACATATGTATCCAAAATACTTAATCTGTATTAATTTTCTTTTTTTCTCCTTTTATTTCGTTTTATAATTATTTATTTATTTTTATTATTAGAACTCTCTACTCCGTCACAAGCATAGCTTAAAGGAGTGGATTTACTTTATTTTATTGTATTTTATTATTATAAAAAAAAAAAAAAAAAAACGTGTCAGGAACAATTCTTATACCGTTGGGTAAACAATTTTAATTTTTTAAACTGCACATAAAGTCTATGGTCGGGGGATTACGGACTTGTGGTAACATAACATTGTTCCGCTATGCTTCGTAACCCGTCGATAAGACACAAATCAACGAAATGCATCGACACTACGGACCGGAACGAACGCGTAAAAACTGCACGACTCCAATTACGGCCGTACACCGCTGCGCACTGTCCAACTGCGGTGTGCCGGACGAACGTACATGGTAGTGCATACAATATCGTATATTACGCTCGCATAGGTGGACGTGGAAACGAATTATTTTCGCGATTCTCTTCCCACCGATGCGATAGATGGCACACACCACTCGACGTGCGACCAGTAACCTACGCACGCACGCACGCACGAGCACAATCGATATTCGGCAGAGCTACGTTATTCAAATAAATCCCGCGAGATTACTTTTCATTCCGGGCGCGCGGTGTGCACGGGAAAACGGCACATAAATCTGAAAATGCCCCGTCGTCTCTCCGAGGAAGAATTTTATTTTCAATTTCTAGCGATAATACTTTCAGCGTCCCCTGCGAAACGGACGGACGGGGGTGCGCGTGTACGGGTGTGTATGTGCGTGCACGTAAAAACGCATATATTGTACCGATGATTTATTCAGCAGACTATTCGCCTCGCGTGCTCTCCGCCGGGGCCGCTGCGCGAGACCATTGTGTACCGGCAGCGGTGTGCGACGAGATAAAAATAAAACGAAAACGGTTCGAGCAAAATCGTAAACGGCCCGCGTGCCCGCACACCGTTCCTATGAACTACGTCGAACGTGCGCGCCTGCACCGCGTCGAATAACAACAAACAATAATAACATTGTGATCAACATAACGCTGCAGTTATTTAAATCCTTCTAATTGAAAATTACAGGTACGGGTGTACATGCGCGCACGTCGTGTAAATCCGTTGTTCCCCGCGGTTGTTGTTCATCGTGTAGAATATAATCGATGCCCGTATGGTGTTGTTGCGTACCGCAAGCGCGCGGAATGCGCGTCGTCGGTATTCTACGCGTTTAATTACTATCGTGGACGCGCCCGAGTAAATTTATAATTTACAACCCGGTTTTGTAGGTTAAGAGCCCACCCTCTCGGAGCATGCCAGTGTGCGCGTACCGTGGTATGTGTGTTTGCTTGGATTTGAGGGATATAAAAGAGACTACACCGGTACACCTATGTGAATGGATGCACAATGAAATCGTTTGGATCTAAAATTGCTTTTACGTCGAACACGGCCCTTCCTCCCTTCGCGATCATTGGACCCAATTTCTCGTGGAATCTTTGATCTATTTTTCGACGGTCTTCTTTTTTTTTTTCTTTTTTGTACATCCTCCGGGAGATTATGATCTCTATAGAACTGCACGGGCGCCGGATTCGGTTGGATATGTTGTATGACGAAAATATTGAACGTGACTTCACGGTCGGAATTTATTATTTTATATATACCTTGTATACACTTTTGTACACGGAATACCTGTTCAATGCGGTGCAAGTATTTCCTTCTGTACATCTGCTGCAGCTGACTTTTGGTCTGGAGAGTTCACACAAAAACGTAGTCACACTATTGTGTCGGTTGCGTTTAGTGTACATAAGTTCTACGTTGTTACTTTAGACGTGCGCGAGATAAACGCCGAATTCATCCGGTATAGTCAGAACAGCACGCGATAAAAAAACAAATAGGTTTCTCGAAATGAAAACTATAATATAGTGTACAAAATAATGTGTCATCTATATGCATATAGCGGTATAATTCAGATACTTTTTACGGTTTTACAGACAAATAATAGTTTTAATAATGAAACGTAAACATTTCCTCGTGGGGATATTAGCCATAATTGTGCAATTTATTTTTATGACTCATTTACGTGTAACTATATATATGCGTATGTAATATGATGATGTTCACCATAATTGATTCGAATATTTCAAAACGCCATTTTATGTAAATATTGTACCTACGTATTTTAAACATTAAAAACACATTTTTCGGTGCATAATCTAATTTATAATGATCAATTATCATTATGTGTTGCGCTCAAAATGTTATTACACTAAATCTAGCAACACTCATTATAATATAAGATTTTAATTGAGCGTTCGCCGTCAGTATGCGGTATTAATCTAATACAGATTCGAAATACATTATACATCATCTGGTCCGAACTAGTCAGTATAATGTATCCACATAAATATATACACACATGTATTGGATGTCTACAACATGACGTGTATAACGTATTATACACGCTTCCGTAGGAAATTCAACATAAAAACATCTAAAAGTGCCCCAGAGCATTTTTTTACCGGCATCAAGAACACTAGAGACTTTACGGTCACATGACGTTCTAAATTTGAATGTTTTATCGTTCACCCATCGTCATCGTCGTAATCTGAAGTTTCCGAAATAACGTATGCCGCTATAACAGATTAAATATAGCGAAAAAAAACGAACAGTTTTCACAGGCCAGACATGCTGCCGAGAAGTAACACGCGTACATAATAGATTCGTCGGTGTACACATAATATACAAGTATAAATCAGGCATAATGGGCTGCTTATTGCACCGGGACTTTAAGCCTTTTAATAAGGTTCCTTTATGTTTTATTATAACTGTCGAGCTTAATAGTATTTCTAAAAGTTCTACAAAAAAAATTAAAAAACGGTTCCTTATGGGCCTCATCGGATTTTGCTGTACAGCAAACTTTTGAGTACATCTTGTTCATTATTTGAGAGGGTTTAAAATGCCTCTATTACAAATCATAATATTCATAATAAACCATACGTATGATAATATAATGACGGATGGTTGGACGGAGGCGGTAACAATCATCATCAGCGATGGATTGATTTATTTATACTTGAATAATCGTGTAAAAAAAAAAAGTATTTTTAAAAAATGCCGACAAATATCGGGAACATTTTGCTACAAAACGAAGAAGAAAAAACCTCCGAAAAGCGTTAAAATAAAAAAATATTAATATAGTTAACCTATAAATTCGGTTATGCTTTCGAATACGACCAGTCTTGATAGGTACTTCGTAGTTGCGAAATTCTTCGTGGTTACCTTTATTTTTTCAATAAGACGGGCTCACCGTTTTTTGTCGCACTCCGAACTTCCACGGCTGCGATACGCGACGCCGATCCCCGTGCACATGTAAACGTGGATATAAACTATTTGTGCCGCGGTGGTGAGCTACACAGATACGATCG